TTTAAACTCTTCCCACTCATGCCCTCTTCCTTGCCAAAAATAGTCTACCTCACGATGCTTTTATACACAGTGGGGAACATTAGAAGAACCTGTAAATTTTCCCCAAGGGGTAGGGGGTAAAAGCAGCTTGGAGTTAGTAATTTTGGAGGGAAAAAGTAATTTTGGAGGGGAAAAAGGATGAGGGAAGACAATTAAATGGCTTCTCTCCCTTCATAATGCTCTGCCTCTTTTAACTGTAACTCTTGAAGCTGCAATCTTTCTTTTAAAGAGAAAAACCACGGGGAAAATAATCACAGAAGTACTCATAATGTGTAGTTCTGTTTTCACATGTTTATCTTTTCCTTGTGCCTAAGTGTCCAAATTAAATTAACATATTTTTCAGTGTCATTTTTCTGTCCATTGTGTATAAATGGTATAAAGGTAAAGGTTTCCCTTGCTCGAAAGCCAGTCGAGTCCGACTCTAGGGTTGCGGTGCTCATCTCCGTTCAAAGCCGAAGAGCCAGCGCTGTCCAAAGACGTTTCCGTGGTCATGTGGCCGGCATGACTAAACACCAAGGCGCATGGAACGCTGTTACCTTCCCACTGAAGTGGTACCTATTTATCTACTTGCAATTTCTTGCTTTCGAACTGCTAGGTTGGCAGGAGCTGGAACTAGAGACGGGAGCTCACTCCATCATGCGGCAACTCAGGTCTCGAACTGCTGAACTACTGACCTTCCACAGCCTGCAGTTCAGCGTCTTAACCACTTGAGCCACCGCAGCTCCTTGGCATAAATGGTATACAAATAGAGAAATGGTATAAATAAATAAATGGTATACAAATAGAGAAAAACAAATGCAAGAATAATTAACAGCAGCAACAAAACTGAGAGTTTTGTGAAAATAAGGGGATGAATGAGGGATTCAGGTATAGGTTGATCCATAAAAACAGGTTGCTTACCAGTAACTGGTGATCTTCGAGTGGTCATCTGTGCATTCACACCAATGGGTTTAGTGCGCACGCGCTGACCCAACCGGTGCTGTAGCAAGCTAAATTTCAACGGATTTTCGCGCCGAGCCCCTCCAGGCATGCGCAGGAACCCCACTGCGCATGCCCAGAGGGACCGGCACGGACATTCCGCCAGTTCCTTCAAAGCACCGCCACAAATCAACACCTATGAAAAAATTGTAGGAGCTGACAGCAGAGGGGAAGGAGGGCGGGTGGTGTGAATGCACAGATGACCACTCGAAGATCACCAGTTACTGGTAAGCAACCTGTTTATCTTCTTCGTGGTCTCTGTGCTTCACACCAATGGGAGACTAGCGAGCCATATCCTACCTGGAGGTGGGTGCTGGCAGGATGTTCATCGCTGGACTGAAGACAAGACGTGACGGCCGATGCTGTCATTGGTGTTTCGGACGTCGAGGGCGTAATGCCGGATGAATGTATTGGGCGTGGCCCATGTAGCAGCTTTGCAGATGTCATGTATCGGCACACCTTTGAGAAAAGCTGTAGACGTCGCTAGAGCCCTGGTAGAGTGAGCCCTGATAGGGCCCGGCAACGGTTATTTTGCCAGGAGGTAGCAAAGTCGAATCAACTCCACAATCCATTTGGACAGACGCTGTGATGTGACACGAGTCCCCAGGCGTGAGGGTGCATACGAGAGGAATAGATGGGGATCTTTCCTAGTCGGATGTGTCCTTTTCAGGTAAAACAAGAGAGCCCTCTTGACATCCAGTGTATGCAGTAATCTATCCTCATCAGATATTGGATTTGGAAAGAAAGTTGGCAAGAAGACTTCAGCTTGCAGATGGAATTCAGAAATT